TCCGACGTCCCTGTAAATCTCATTCCATGAGGATTAAGGGACGTCTTGGAATCGCGGTTTATTTCAAAATGTGGCGCTGTGTAGACACAGGGCAGTGGCACGGCATGGCAGGGGGCTCCTTGCAAGTGGGGCCAGAGCCCACTGGCTGCAGACCCCACCCCCGAGGCTACAGAATAGTCGGCTAATTGATAAGAATTCATGAGGTTACTTGACTATTCAAGTACCTGATAGTCAACATCCCTACCTGAATCCCAAGGCCCCACCCCCAAGTTCTGTGACCCAGAGGACTTGTGGGGGGCAGCTGGGTGCTGGCAGTGGAGGCTGGGTTCCCCCCCCACACACACACACACTCCCCAGCAGTGGCGAGACTCTGCCCCCTGCTGGCGAGGGTGGGGGGAGGGGGGCAGTCTCATCCCCTTCCCTGTGCAATGGGGCCAGGAGCCAGGGGAGTGGAGCAGGCTGGGGATGGGTTGCTCTGTTCCCCCCTCCCCCTCACTGCGCATAAGTGCTGGGGCTGGGGCCCTCGTGCTCATGCCAGCCCCCCGACTAGTCCCCCTGGCTGCCCCAAAGACAACGCCCTCATCAGCTGCTGGCCCGTTGCCCCTCTCGCCCATGGCATTTGGGGGGGGGTGTGCCCCCACTTCTCCCCCCACCACGCATTGCCCCAATGGCTGCATCCACAAACACAGCAAGCTAGCTGGGAAACCCTCCTAAACTGGCCCGCGGGAGAGACCGTGAGGGGGGCAGGTGCTACCCCTCCCCCATGGAGTTAGGCACCGGCTTTGCCGCCGAGGGTTGCCAGACGGTTTCAACAAAAATACCGGTCACACTTGACATTCCACCCCGAGCTACATTATGTCTTCTTTAGAAAATACCGGACATTTCTACTGTCTCCATTCGCTTCCCGGACAGAAAGCGCAAATACTGGACTGTCTGGTTCCAAACCGGACCCCTGGCCACCCTATTTGCTGCACACACCCTGGGTGGAGGAGGCGCTGCCAGACGGTTTCAACAAAAATACCGGTCACACTTGACATTCCACCCCGAGCTACATTATGTCTTCTTTAGAAAATACCGGACATTTCTACTGTCTCCATTCGCTTCCCGGACAGAAAGCGCAAATACTGGACTGTCTGGTTCCAAACCGGACCCCTGGCCACCCTATTTGCTGCACACACCCTGGGTGGAGGAGGCGGTCGTCAGTGCCGTGTCTATACACGGACACACTGGTAAAAATGTGGAGGCCCAAAAGCACAGGGCTTCCCATTTCTTACCATGGGGCATGATCGCATCGGGGGGGGGCAGCTCTCACAAGTGGCTCCCTCCCCCATCCCCAGCATCCCTGCCATGCTGCAGAGCCTCA